AAAAATGTCTTTGAGGTATGCTTAGTATTATGCTTTTTTAATCATTTTTTCCCAAAATATTAATAATGATTATTATTTCATTTATTTTTTATCTGTTACATCGCTAATTTTATAATTATTGGCATTATTATCATGATATAAATGCGGATTTTAACTTTTGAAATCAGATTATTTTTTGATGATTAATATTCTTATATATCAATTATCTTTGTATTTTATCTGCTTTTAAATAAAATAATCCCTAATAAAAGCTTTAAAAAAATTGAAATTAAAAGAATAAAATAAAAATAATAGTAAGAAAAAAATATTTATGCAATAATTTTTACAAAAGTCGAAGGTTGAGATCGGACAAACAAGCTTGGAAGCTTATTTGGAATAAATCCATCACTAATTGTTCCTCTAGAAAAAAAGGATTTAACTAAAAAATATAATGGTTTTGGTATTTCTGCAACTGAGGTATAATTAGTATCGTAGTACTTATTTGCTATTTCGATTCGATTAAAATCATTCGTAAGAACCTTATTTGAAATTACGAAATATTGATTTGTATTATTATATAAAATTTGAGCAGGATGAGTGAATTGATTTTCTAACGGTTTTCTAGGGTTTAGAGGATAAATTCCAGATTTTTCAAACCCTGCTTTGATTATTTCTGGTGTAATTGATTCCCAAGATTTTTGGATTGAATAAACGATAGAATATCGGTTTTTAGCAGCTTGGCTTGTAAAATTTAGTAATTTTGGAATATTTTGTGTACTAATTCTGTATCTATTAATAAATGATTAGAAACTTGAAGCAACCGATATATCTATCGGCTGCAAAACATGCGTGCAATGCACAGGTAATGTTAAAATATGTATTCTGTGCATGATTAAATATTCAATTGCATAACTGTTCAATCTGGAAGAATGATTGTCTTGTCATAACTGTTTGAATTGACTTTGAAGGCGAGCATTGTCTTGTCATAATTTCTGATAATTCAGTTGCTCTGGTAAATCTAAATTCACGACAATTAAAAGCTATCTGTACTGCTTCAATCGTTTTTATGCAATCCATATCAAGGCCTCTGTTGTGTATAATCTTTTGAAAAATAAAAGTTTCAACATCGCTAAGATAGCCTGGGGAACGACCATTATGGTGTTTTTCATACATGTTCTAATATTACTATGTGATCGTAGATGAAAACAATCAATAATTTCCTGATCATTATGCCCTTCTATTATCATTTCGCATAGATGGCGCTGAGTTTCACTTAAAATTTCGATTTCTGCATCAAGCCATTTGAACTGAATTTCCTGTTCTTGCATTATTATCTATGGCTGGTGTTTAACCGCAATTTTACTTAATAGAAATTTTGTCACTTTTTATTCAATTCTCACTTTGGTTTTTGGATTTAAAAATTTGAATAATATTTGAAATATTGAATGGATAATTCAAATTTTGAATACTTCCATACAATTTCCCTAAGGTTTAATTGATTCGTCCCTAAGGTTCTTCAATTGACGGTAATCATACAATCAACTTTGTTCTTTGAAAATTTGAATATTGTAAAAAAATTCAATAATATATTTATGAATGAAAGATTTTGGATATTGAGATGGATTATCAAATTATAAAACCTATCAAATTGGACTTCCTTTAAATGGCGTTATCAAGACATTCTCATATTATTTTGAAGTGTATCCTTTAATTAACAATATGTTTTCATATCTAATTTTTTTAACTCATATAAAGATAAAAGCTTTCATATGGATTTCTTTATATCACAAAAAAAATAGATAACTTTTTAATAAACCTGAAGTTTCTATAAGGAACTATAATCTCATTATAAAAAGCATAAAATAAACAAAACTTTTATATTTTGAAAATAAAGAAATAAAAAATTATAAGAATGTTTAGTTAATTAAATTCTTGAACGATATGGCAGACAGATAATATGGGGGAAGTGAAGCCTTTTGCCATACTTATATGAAGATGTTTTAAGTATTTCACCATGATGTATTCATTCATCACCCCATGTCTTGTATCGGGCTCCCAAACAATCGCAAATTAAAATTTAAAAAGAAATTCTAATATAATTGATATCAAATAAGGGATAAAAGAACTAAACATGAAGACACTAAGAAATTTACACAACCAAAGGCAATCCATTATTGATAGAGAAGGAACATAATTTACGACATATCAAAACATCATCTTCATTTACTTCTAAAGCTCTCAAGTATAAAATGTGCTTTTTATACACATTTTTTAAAAACCATTATACTTTTTAATGCACTATAGCCTCGATTGAAAGTCCTTACCATTTAATAGCAATTGAGACTTCAGAATTGATAAAAATAATCTAAAAAGTGGGAACACGAGCTTTACCAGCATTTTGATAATACATCCAGTCATTATGCTGAATAAGTGAAAGGACAACAATGAAATTCCAAAAGTTATTATTTGAAACAATCCTTCATATTCTCTTGATTTGAGGATCCGTGATTTGGGATTGTTCGGCACTGTGAAATGATCTTTAACTGACGGTAGTTTCCTTTTTAGAGGCTCGGTCTTGATATCCTTTATCTGCTAAAATTGTAAAAGATTCTGAAAAATCCCTTAAGAAAATTTCAATGTTTTTATCAAAAATTGACTTATCGTGGTGAGAGTCAGGAATTGATGTTAAAATATCCACAGCTAAACCTTTTAAATTGATAATCGCCTGCGATTTTAAACAATATATATAGTGCTTTCCCGAAAAAAAATTAGAGGCTTCATCAAATTCTGTCTAAGGTTTGTTGATCTTCTGTACTGTAGCGCCTACTATAAACTTGCATTCTGGAAAATCTTCAGGAGAATCAATATCAAGGCTTTCAAAGATTCTTTTTCTAATGAATTCACCTTCCAGTATAGGTGCTATAAGGCTTAAGTTTTTGGATATTAGGCTTTTAAAAGTAGTAGGCTCCAGGTTAAAAAACTGCTTTCATCGCATCCATCCTTGGATAAGTACGGAGATAATGCAAAAACAGTAAAAACTGATCTAATGGAGTGAATCTAGGCTTTCTTCCTCTTTGTGTCTGGCTTATTGCTTCCTCAACAAGTCTAAATAGGATTTCAAAATTCTGGATACTGAAACCTTTAAATTGGTAAAAAGCTTCTGGATTGTCACTTATTTTCTTATAAATAGTATTTTCTTCTATTTTCTCCAATTCTTCTTCCTCTCTGTTAATATGATCAACCTTTGCTTGAGACATTTCCATTACACCTCTATAATGCGTTTGTTGGCTATTCCCTGAGGAAATAAGATAGTTTGTTAGGGTGGCTTCAGGTATGTTCATTTAAGGAAAGTGAAGTGAAATCATATTGTCTTTCTAATTGAAAGACAAAAACAGAAAAAAACGGATATCATGATATGCACCTTTTAAAAAATAAACTTTTATCATTTTAAGTATTGTTTTGATTAAAGTTCAATAGAAAATCTTCTATTCTTTTGCATTTCATACAATGGAAATCATATTTAATAAACATTAATATCATATATTCATATTTATTATTTATCCAATATTCATAAAAACTGCTGCAACCTATCTACAACATTATATTTTTCACCAATGACTTGTCCTTGTTACTTTACTCCATTTTTAGCGCCGAGCTTTTACAATTAGCCCAAATTTTTGACACAAAATCCTATTCAACGAATATCATAATACTTTTTTTTTCTCTACTGATGTAATGAATAATATATTTTTGTGAAAACTCATTGAATTTTTCCTTTTAAAATACAAACTGACTTAATTTATTTATAAATGCATGGTTAATTTAAATAAGATACTTGTGAAAAACAGTATGTTTCCTAAGTGTTTGAACATTTAATTAATTAATAAGTATAATATTTTAAAAAAAATAAAAGATATTATCTTCAAAAGAACGTCCAAATATTATCAAAGGAATAATAACATTTTTTTGAGAGCTTATTTTTCTTCTTTGCTGCGCTTATGATGACTATGATGCTTGCTTTTGCTATCAGATTTATCACTATTTTTGTGGCCTTTTTTTTTGTCATCAGATTTACTACTTTTATGATGCTTATGGCTGTCATCAGATGTTTCACTACTCTTATGATGTTTATGTTTCTTATTTGGTTCATCAATAGTATTTTTTTCGTCTTTCACGCTACTTCTGTGATGACTGTGATGCTTGTGATGTTTGTTCTCGTCTTTTTTCTTTTCTTTTTTATCGGTAGATTTTTCTTTTAATTTATCTGAATCTTGAACTTTTTTATCAGTTAATCTTTTTGACCTTCTGCTTGATGAAAATAAATTAGAAGATTCTTGATTATCTCCAATTATAATTGATTTTTGCTGCATAATATCTGGCGGGATATCAACATGGCATTTTGAGTCAACTTCTTTGATTTGAACTTGGAAAAAATCTTTTGATTTATCTTCGAGGATTTCTTGAATTGGAATAAAATAACTTTTGACAGGAATAATTTTGGAATCAATCATAAAAGATAATTTCGATTTGAAGCCATATGATTCTTTCAAAATATTTTGCACATCATCAAACGTTTCTTCACCTGTAAGCTCAATAGTGAATTTTTTTAGACCTAATACAAAATTAATCCACATTTAAAAAATTTAAATGAAAATTTTTGTCTTATTTTAAAAAGTTTCAAAAAGTAAAACTTTTTCAAATAAAAATTTTAAATTTATACTAAAATATATTGACAATTCCTTTGCATTTTCTTTTTAATATATATCAAATAATTTAATCAAATATTTTTACAAATAAGAGTTCAATTAAATTATTAAAATTACCTAAAAAAGTTAATTCAAAATCAAATTCTGCCCACATAAAATCATTGATTTTTCAAGAAAGAAATATGAATCAATTTTATGTTAATATATTTATGCAACAAGATCAATTGAATAAGAGAATTTACAAAATAAATTTCTTTTATCTTTGAAAAATTATTATCATGAATATATTTCTTTTTAATAAATTTACTCATGAAAGGTTGCTTGGCCGAGTGGTCTAAGGCGCCAGTGTCAGATGCTGGTCCATGAGGTCGTAGGTTCGAATCCTACAGCAACCGTTTTTTGATTTTTTTTTTTATTTAATTTATAATTTCTGTTTTCCTTGAAATAAATTTCATTTATGCTATTTATAATAATAAACATTGAACAGTTCAATGTTTGCTTTATATAATCAATTTGCTTATTGGGCTTCCTCAATTGATACATTTGAGGATTTAATGGCTGATATCTGTATTAAATAAGATAACAAAGATTTTTAACTTTTTTTTTTTTTTTTAAGAAAGTGAAATAAAAGCATGAATAGGTTGTTATACTTTTTTAATTAAAAAATATTAATTTGATTTTCTCTTAAAGTTCAATCAGACCACATATCAATTCAAAAAGTTCATTATATTATAAAATTTCAAAAAAAAAAAATGTTTTATATAAATTTACTTAAGAGCTCCAAAGAATTCGACAGCAGATAAGTCGAAGAAATAACGTGTACATCTCATGTTCCAGCAAGGACCATTCGTTCTAATTCTTATGTAACGATAAAACTCGCTAGAAGGGGACATGCATTTATAAGTGTGGCACACGTTGCAGCCATTCATGACTGTCTCGTTGCTCCTCTCATCAAGAGTGACCCAGCTAGAGTTGTCGTTTGAACACTCAACGAGCCACGATCGCGGGTAGTCCTTTGTTGGGTATGACGGGGTATGAAACGTGTAATTTGTCAGTTTAACTTTTTTGTTTCTAAAGTCAAAAGTGACAGTGGCGCCGTTTTCGCCGTTTGGCGACCACATCGAGCTTCTTCCAAGCTGATCGAAATCGCACAAAAATTTGGCGTTATGCCTCTCTTGCTCACTGGAAGCTGTCACAACAACAATGCCTTTATCATGGACATTCCCGCCAGCCTCATCTGTCAAATATTTGATAATACCATTCAATTCACGACCATTTATGTATTCAAAATCCAAATAGTTGCCTGAATGAAGAGCGCGCTGCATGACAGACTTCCATAGCTCATCAGTTAGATCAGTGAATTTGAATGCATTGAAAAAGTGGGAAAATTCTTCTTTACTTACATTCAAAAAGTTGACATTTTCAAATAAAAACATTGAGTCAGAATCCTCTGAATATTTATCAATCAAAAAGTTCAACAGATAATCTTCATCCTCAATTTTAAGATTGTCACTTTTTAGTATAAGGCCAATCACTTCAGCATCTAACTTTTTCAGAGCTTCTTTGTCAAGCTGGCCGAAATGTGATGCTGAAAAATTCACTTCTTCTTCGATGGAATCATTTGAATGGTAAAAAAGACGTTTTTGGCCAATTATTTCAAAAACTGTATCAATTGTGAGAGGATTGGTGAATTGTATTTTCTTGCTTTCATTAAAATTACCAAGATTTTCAAATAAATACTTGAAATATAAAATAGTTTTTTGATCAAATGAACATGGATTGAAATTGAGTAAAGAAAGAAAAGAGGAAAAATCACAATCGGAGAATTTTCCGTTTGTATTGATATAAAAAGTGTTAAATGATTCATCTACGAAGTGCATTTTGCGAATTATAGGAGATAAAAGATCAGCTTCAAAACGACTTATAGGATATTTCTTCCCATCAACGATGAACAAAAAATCTTTTGTGTATTTGTCAAATGGGATTTGAGAAATAACGTCAATATCAAGCGAGATTTGGTTATTTGCCATTTCTAAATAAAATATGAAATGTGATATAAAAAACTCGATTACACAAAAAATCTGACAAACTCCATCAAAAAAAAAAAAAAAAAAAAAAAAAAAAAAACATAAAAATAAATAATTTATTTATTACTATAAAGGGATTTCAGAATGAGAAGATTTCCCTGAAAAAATAACTTCAAATACGTCATCATTTTGCTGAGCCAGTTCAGGAATAGGCTCAAACTCTCTTTTGAAGAAGGGGTGCCCCAACAAGTCTCTTGCAGTAGCTCTCTGATCCACCGGCTTTAAACATTTCAAAATCAAGTCTTTCAGCTGCGCAGACTCGACTTTATTTAAGCAATCCGGCATCACGTAATTTTGTAATTTTTGAATGAGTTCGTTTGGTGACTTACATTCTGAGTAAGGCTCCACTAAAGTAGCTGCATGCAAAAGGGCAATTCCGAAAGACCAAATATCGCACGATGGGTCAATTTCATGGTTTAATAATTCAGGGGGGGTTGAAAGACGTAATTTTATTGAATTGTTGCCTTGAAAAAGATAAAAAGGATCAATTAAAGGTGGAACTATTTTGACATGACCTGTGGATGGCTTGACAAAGATACCGTTAAGGTTTAAATTTAAATGAACAACTGGGGTGGCACATGAATGTAAAAAATCAATCGCTAATAAGGCTGAATGAAACCATTTGGCTATCACTCGCTCCGATATGGCTGTACTACCAATAACTACTTGGTTGTATATGGAAGTGGTGCTCATAGATTCGGTAATAAAATAGAATATCTGTTTTTCATTATCAATCCAAAAGTGGAGAAATGAAAGAATCGAATCAAATTTAAGATTAATTAAAGTATCGCCAAAATCTAAAAGTTTCGACTTCTGTTCAATAGTAAGAGTGTGGATATCGAGTTCATGCCATGTAACTTCAAGGCCAGTTAAAGTATCATATCCTTTAAATGATATTACACTGGTTCTGACATACGTATATTCGTTGAATTTCTGAAATCTTTGCGTTGGGTCGCTTTGTATAGGAGTAATCTTTGACATGAATATAAAAATAAAAATTATTGAATTTTTTTTTATATTTTTCTATTATCTTATTTAATAATTGAAAGAAAAAGTTGGTAAATAAATTTAACTCTTTCAATTATCGATTTTATATCATTTTCTTTGTATTTCGTTTTTAAAATGTTTAATACAAAAAACAAACACTAATTTATCTTTAAATATTTAATATTTTTTTAAATTTTAATAAAATTCCTATTTTTTATTATAATGCACAAATATTTGTTAAATTTAAATAAAGTAGTTGATGTATATCCATTAAATATTGTTTTTAACTGCAATAATGAGTAGTAAATCTCCACTTTTTGTTTCTCGTGAATTAACATTTATATCATCAAATTTTTGAATTTTTTGAACAAAGCTTAATTTTTTTTTTTTTTTGGCATGCATGTGTAAGAAGAGTTTCTCCTCCATAATGGTAGTTTAGATCAATGTATTTAATATCCAAAATATAATTTAAAATATCATTCGGAAAAAAAGGATATTAATAAATATATGGATTTTGTCTTTTTTCCAAAAGAAAAAAATGTATACAAGACTCTTTTTGAACGCAGTACCAAAAGTACCGTTTCTTGTTATGAATTAAAATATTAAATATCAAAATTTGGAGAGGAAAAAAAAGTACTCAAAATAAATTACTTTATACGATCATAAAGTTTTATTTTTTTAAGGAAAAAATAATGTAACTTATTAAAATTTATTACATTCTGACAAAGAGAAGCAAATTATAACCAAAAATCCATATCAATTTCATCACTATCTTGATTTTTGGTTTTTGATGATACATAAAGTTGTCCTAGGGACAAAACTTTTGAATTTTTGGTTTCTTGCGAACTTTCATTTTCGAGTTTTGCCTCTTGCGCCTTCTCACAATGAAAACAGCAGCTGTTGCAACAGCAGCAACAAGAACAATCACTCCACAAATAATGCCAATCAGGGCTCCTTTTGAAATTATCTTTATTGGCTCCTTTGTTGGCTGCAAAATTGAATCAAATTTGTTTGAATTGGTGGTTGAAAATGGAAAAGAAACATTGTACTTGAGTGGTGATGTGTTAGATTTTCATTCGTTTGCTCCATTTTCTGTTTCAAAAGAAACTTCCCTTGATTCATCGATTTCATTTGATGCTTCAGTTTCACGTAATTCTTGATTCTTCACTTTGTGATTCATTTGATTCTTCACTTTGTGTTTCACTTGATTCTTCACTTTGCGTTTCACTTGATTCTTCACTTTGCGTTTCACTTGATTCTTCACTTTGTGTTTCACTTGATTCTTCACTTTGCGTTTCACTTGATTCTTCACTTTGTGTTTCACTTGATTCTTCACTTTTTGTTTCACTTGAGTATTTATCTTGATTACTGCTGTCAATTTCTTGTTCAATTGAACTTTCACTTGATTCACTTTCAGTATTCAAAACGAATTCAACACATATGAACTTTTTTATATCAAAATCCCAAGTTATTGTATATCCATCATCGCAAACTGTACAATTTTGTTCATTACACAACAAGCAATTTTCGACACAATCAATTTTTTCGCATGTTTGAAAATCATCTGAAACAGAATATCCTTCATCGCATTTTGTTCAATTAAAGATTTGACAATCACGAATGCTATTTATATCATCATTATCACATTCAGAAAAACATTCTACACAATATTCAACTTTATCGCTGCATTTTCTGCATCTGCCTCCATAAGGAACAGGATATGAATATATTTGACTCTTGTAATATCAATTTTCGCATGAATAACATCAATAATATGTATTACAGTTGAAACATGTTGAGCATGGAAATGGACATTTAATACAATTATTGCCATCTTTGTATTAGCCATCAAGACAGCGGAGACAAATTGTTTTATTGTCGTTTATTTCACACATTTGGCAACCTTCTGAGCACAAAATGCACGATGTTCCATTTAGTATGTAATGACCACGACATGAATCACAATGATTGAATGTTTCTTTGCATGTTAAACAGTTATCATAGCACTGTTTTTCGCACATATTTCCTTCTAGAAGGTATCCTTGAATGCAAGAAAGACAAATAGAAAATGATGAGAATGTAGCACATGATGAACTACATTTTTGCATTTATTTGATAGTGGATCTATATAATATCCATCAAAACACGATATACACATCATATCTCCATCATTAAGAGCGCATGATTAACAATTCATTGGACATTCGGAGCAGTGTAAAAAGATCTGTTCATTTTCAGTGTATGTTTCTGACACATAAAAACCATTTGTTGAACATTATGTGCATTTTTTTGAATTAGAATCACATTTATTACATCCTTCT